CGTATGTTCTCCCTCATATGTGGACATTTAGATCAAGGGCAAACACAACAAGGGGATTTGGACTTTGATCACATGATAAGCAAGAGTACACAGGGAGGTATGAGGATAGGTAAGACACCAAAAAACTAGACAGCATATTGTTGCCCTCAATGTAGAGAAACTAAAGCAGATATTTTAAAGCACTGAGGCCAATAGGAGAAGGGGACCAGGAACTAGAGAAAGGTTAGATCAAAAAGAAATAACCTAGAAGGTAACACAACACCTACAGGAATCAATGTGAGTCAACTCCCTGTATAGCTACCTTATCTCAACTACCAAAAACCCTTGGTCCTTCCTATTATTGCTTATACTATCTCTTCAACAAAATTATAGATAAGGGCAACATAGTTTCTGCCAGGTAGCGAGGGGGTAGGGGGGAAGAGGGAGGGGGTTGGGGGGTAAGAGAGGGGGCGGGGGAAGGGGGGAGAAATGACCCAAACATCATATGCACATATGAATAAAATAAAAAAAAAAAGAGAAAAGGTTTATGTTGGCTCACCATTTTGGAGGTTTCTGCCCATGATTCATTGGCCCCATGGTTTGGGGCCTTTGGCAGCACATCATGGCAGCAGCACACAGTAAAGAAAAACAATTACCTTATGGAAGGGGCTGGGGACCCACTATCCACTTCAAGAGCATAGTCTCCAATGACCTGAAGACTTGGCACTGCCCTCACCTCGTTTCGGTTTTTGAGAGAGGGTATCACAATGTAGCCCAGACAGGCCTCAACTTCAGCGTCTCAAATGCTGGGATTATAGTTATGAGCCACCATGCCTAGCTTGGGCCTCACCTCTTAAAGATTCTACCACCTCTTAATAGCACCAAGCTGGGGACCAGGTCTTTATACATAAGCCTTTGGAAGAACTTAAGATCCAATGTACAGCACAAAATTATGAGGAGAACTGACAAGTCCACACCATAGTAGGATATATAGACTATACACCTTTCTCAGTAATTGATGTCACCTAGACCAAAAATTAGTAGTATATAGAAAACACAAACAATACAATTAACAAACTTGATCAAAAGGACATGTGTAGAACTTTTGTTTCCAACTGCAAAGAATGTATCCTTTTCTTTTTTCTTTTATTTTTTTTTTGGCTTTTGTGGTGCTGGGGTTTGAACTCAGGGCCTCACACTTGCTAGCCAGGTACTCTACCACTTGAGCCACTCCACCAGTCCAACTTTTCTTAAGAGTAATAAGAAACATTTATGAAAACTGGTTGTGTACTTGGGTATAAAGGAAGTCTCAACAACTTTCCCAGAATCAGTATCATACAAATCATGTTCACTGATAACAGTGCAATTAGGTTAAAATAAATAAAGAAAAAATTAAAATAGACAACAGATAACCAAAAGAAAGACGTGTATGAAGATGTCTGTTCAGTACTGAAAAATCAGAACCTGAAATAGCCAATGATACAGGTATGGCTAGTTAAATTATGCCTTATTGATCCAGTGGGAAAGCATGTGATCACTAAAATTATTTTTTAAATGGACTATGTTTAAGATATGCTATTAGATGAAAAGTTTAAATCTATGCGTTATCTATGACTACAACCATGTGAAAAATATGTGAGCATTTAGATGGATAAGAAAGGAATAAAAGCTAGGCCTGGTGGTACATACCTGCAATCCCAGCACTTGGAAGCTGAGGCAGGAGGATTTTGAGTTCAATGCTAGCCTGAGCTACATATTAAAGTCCCTGTCTCAAAACAACAACAAAGAAAGGCGTAAGTAAGTGAAAACAGTTGTTATATTATGGTGATAGGACATGTAGAATTCTGCTTTTAAAGGGATTTTCTGTGATGTGTAACTTGTGAGGACAAACAGGTGTTTTTCTGTTCAACCAATGTCTAGTACAAGCTCTGAACACAAGGGGATTACCCTTCTTTTTTTGGATATCAAATGGGACTATACTTATACTAAAGAGTACATGTTTATATTAAATATATTCTAGTGGGAATCAAACACATTTACTTCAATATTCTCTATCATTTAAAAGAATATTTTAGTAGAGGATAAGATCCTTTTATAGGTTACCATGCCTGAGTTGGATTAGCAATCAACCTTATGCATTTTAAATGTTAAGTGAAATAAAAATTACATGTTAAAATTCAATAAATAATTACACTTCGTTTAATTATCACAGCCTCTGGTAAGGTTTGGTATAATTCAGTAGTCTGGATCACAGAAGAAACCAGTAATTTTTACTACATCAGGAATGTGAATTTATCAATTCAAAATGAAATTGATAAATACTCAAAACAGTCAACATACTTGAATAATATCCACAGTACAACATATAAACAGATGCAACACTCTGCCCCAGGAGCTTTCAATGCTCAATAATGATTAGGTATGCTATGCCATGCTTCCTGTAGCAACAAACCCATTATCATTTTATTATAATTCAGAATAGGTCATTCACGAGCTGCTCTGTAAAAACAGTATGCAACAACAACAACAAAAAGAAAAGACACTGGAGACTGACCCACGAGCACCATTTTATCCAGTGAATTCAAATATTTACGCTAAGCATGGTCTGTTCACACACACACACACACACACACACACACACACACACACACACACACAGGAGGTACTGGGGTTTGAACTCATGTTCTACCACATGAGTCATACCTCCAGTTCCTGTTCAGACATTTTTTAAAGTGGAAAAAAATAAAAATTGAATGAAAATCCCAGGGATTAATTTACTTATCATTTCTTGATCAAAACAGTATAGTGTTAGTTTGAGGACATCTAATAGAAGTAACTGATTCAGGTTAAACTCTGTTAGTAAAAGATATTTGCTTCCATGGAAATAACAAGGGGCTTTTTATATGTCATGCATTTGGTTAAGAGAGAAGACTGAGGATTTATTTTTATTTGATTAGTCTTTATTTATAGATAAACAGGCATATTGTTAAACAACTTTGATTTTCTCTCAATTAGCATGTATCAAGTAATGAAGAATAATCAACATACAAGTCTTGATACCAGGCAAATAATTCCTTCTCTTCTTTTTCAAATTCACTATCTGATGTGGAATCTTTGACTTTCACAATGTCAAGAGATGAGGTAGAGATGACAATCATCTCTTGCTTCTTTGTACTCTGTGTGTCTTTTTGTGGTTCCTAGGCAGAATTATATATAAAAGCACAAAGTGTTTTATATTTGGCTTTTATGACTTTATATTTTATATCTTATTCTTAGTCTCAGTCCCTCTAAATTTATAGTTTTTAAAGTTATAAAGTAATAATACATCAACACATGCTCATTGTAAATATTCCTACAATATAAAAGTACACCCGGAGCAGACTTTACGTAGAACAACTTTTAGTAAGTTTAGATAGAGCCTCACTGGCCTGTAATCTAGTCTCAGCTACTCAGGGGGCTGAGGTGGGAGGATCACTTGCGCCCAGGAGTTTGAGGCCAGTCTGAGTAACACAATGAGACCCCATCTCTCAAAAGCAACATGGTTGGGGATATAGCTCACTGGTAGAAGGCTTGCCTAGCAAGTGCAATGCCCTGAGTTCCATCCCTAGCACCACACAACAAAATTTTAGACAGATGACTTCCATTCTAAAAAAAGCACCATCAGAGAGGTGCTAAATTCAACAGTGTCAACATACAAAGACAATAAGGTGTTTTTTGTTTGTTTGAGGTTTTTTTGTTGTTGTTTTTTTGCCAACTTATGGTTGTGTGGAGCCAAAATAGCTGTTTATCAGAATAGCTACTAATTTTGTTTAAGAATTTTTTTTAGCAGTACTGGGGTTTTGAACTCAGGGCTGCATGCTTATTAGGCAGGTGCTCTACCACTTGAGCCACACCAGCCCTTTTTTGCTTTTTTAGTTATTTTTTTGGATAGGATCTTGCATTTTTTCCTGGGAATGGTCTCTGACTATGATCCTTCTACCTCTGCCTTCCAAGTAGCTGGGACTACAGGGTGCCCAGCCCCTTGTTTAAGAATTTTAAAAATATGTGTTACCAAGATAAAAGTAGCTTTATACCATCAAAGGTGTGGTATGCCAAAGGTGTTTCAGCTTTGAATTTGTAAATTAGGAAAATCTTATTATGCAAGGAGAATTACTTACAGGCAATTTGTCCAAAATAATGAATTCAGTACAAGTTAAACTTACAGTAGTAGCCTTTGAAGCCTTTGGTTCTTTAGGTGTCATATAAGCGTTTTTCATTTTTTCAACTTTCATTTGAGCCTGCTTGGATCGACGACCCAGATGTTTCATTTTATTTTGCTGTTTGTAGGGCCGATACACAGGATGGAAGGATGGATACCTTTAGGATGTTTGTATTATAGACAGAAAAAGCACACGCAGTAAAGTATGAATGAAAGCAAGGTCCAAATGTATTAAAATACTCTCTAGCAAAAATATTTAGACTTCTGTATGTGGAACAAAACTGCATGTAAACTTTAAAGTTACCACTTTAACTGCATAGTATTGTTTTTATCTGGCACTTACAGAGGTGTAAACATGATGATGTTGACAATTATGATGATGATGAAAATAATAAAACCTGGTATCGATTTAAAATAAGCTTTCCTGAGATGGGCACTGGTGGCTTATGCCTGCAATCCTAGCTAGTTGGAAGGCTGAGATCAGGAGGAGCAAAATGGACTGGAGGTGTGGCTCAAGTGGCAGAGCATCTGCTTTGCAAGCATGAAACCTTGAGTTTAAACTCCAGTCCCACCAAAAAATACTGTGTAGTGACAATCTTTTTTAACACCACACATCAACATTAAAAAGTATTGTATTTCATAACAGTTGCAAAAACAAAGCTTTAAAATCAGTGTTGGGATCAGACACAGTTGGTGCCATGCCCACAGTCCTCTTGGCCTTACCACTGCAGGGTACATAAGCCCAATTTCCACTTGCTAACATCTGTATTGCTCAGCCTGAATGCTGTCTTTAAAAACAAAGAAAGGTTGAAACTGCCCAAGAAGTAATACTGACCCTCCTAAGCAACCTTTAACCAATGCATCAATACCCAACTCGTTTAGCCCCTGTTGGGATAACTGAGTTGCATGTTCTATACTGGCTCTGGCATTCCCAGAAGGGATTAAGCTCCAGGTACCTACAGTATAATTTGCTTGCTAACACACACTGTTTTGGCTGCCTCTCCTTTATTTCACTGCTCTACTCCCTCTTATCACTGGTTCTTAAGTAAAGTACTCCAACTCAAATCCTGTCTCAGGGTTTGCTTCCGGGAGATTCTAAATAAAGACCACATTTAAAGATGCCTTTATGAAAGTAATTTTCCCTCTTCAACTGATTTAGAAATTGACTACTTTATTTGGCTCTTAAGTGACTCATTCTTGGATAAACAATACCATGAGTCCAAATAGCAAGGAGTCCAGAGTTATATATGGTGGCAAAGAAAATTACATCATTTGTTTGACCTTGGCAGTAATAGGGTTAAGTTCTATATTCAGTGCTCATATGGATGAGTTAGAGAAAATATATTTCATGATAACAGACTATGCCTATCTGTCTGGCAAATATATAGCCTTGATCATAAAATAAATAGGTTAAATTATGTTATTATGTCAGTACTTCTCATTTCTACTCCCGAAAAACCCTAGTATGTTTGCTTGACAGTGGGTATCTTCTTCATGGCCTAAAAAGTCTGAAGGAGTATTTTTCATTTCAAATACGTGTATGAAAAATAAGTCCTCTTAAGTCTTATCATTGCTTCTTCTTAAGGAAGCCAGTACACTTTGTAAATAAGATGGGCTACATGAGTCTTATTAATGAAAAGAAAAAGGAATATCACTGGAGTAGTCACATTCTGTCTGTGTTGTTTCAGATCATAATACATCTATTTTGCTACAACATGCATTTCCAAAATGTGAGTTGGTTCACATGCTATTGGTAAAGAAGGGAATAATGTCAGTGTAATTTATATGCAATTTGTCCTAGGCAAGGAGAGCCAGAATAGCAAGAATACAATCATAGCCTTCAGCAGAAAAGGATAAAGCCCTCAGCTTTGTGCTGCATGGGCAATGGGAGCCCTTTCAGCTGTATTTATGAAAACAAAAATTGGCACCTGCACCTAAGCCTCCACCCCTGTACTCTCCTCCCTGCATTAGATCAGGTTCTTAGTTGCGCTGCCTCTCATGTCTACTTAAAAGGCAGTCATGCTAGCTCAAGGTTCCACTTCCATCTGCACTGTCTCTGCATCCACTACCTGCTCTAATTAAAAAGTTGCCAGCATTTTCCCTCTATTGCTGTACAGTTTCTATATTTACTGTGGCAGCCTCCAGCCACCTTGAGCTGCCCGTCTGTTGGTACAAGTTCTCCCCAGGTACCAAATTGTTCTTTTTGTTAGTGCTCTGTTTATGAAGTTGCAAACATTTTGGGCAATCTGCCCCAATCTTATTTTCCCCGTATGCCCTATTATTATCTTTAGTAAGCTCTTTGGAAAAATATGAACATTTTCAGAACTGCTTTTAGTATTGTAAACCTCAAAGAAAGATCTCTTTTACCTAATTTCAGAAACAATCTGTAGCTGGTGCTGACGCATCTCTACTGTTCGTGGTTTCTGTAACAGATACTTCATTTCTTCTTGTAATCGCTTTGAGATTGCCCCAGTCTCTGCATAATGAACTATGTCATATATCATCATTGTCTTGGGAATGTTTCTGAGGTTTAATTTTCGCCACTGGTTATTTCTGCCACCAGATGATGCAGGGGTCTCATCCATAAGACTGCTATACTGTATGGAAAAAACAATTTGGAATGATTGGTTGTGGGTGCTCTATCATGGTTTTAAACACATTCCCCAAGTTTCCACTTAAATGTCACTTCATCCAAAATGTATTCCTTGGTCTCATCTCTGAACTCTGTCGACCTCTCTCTTCTATGACTCTTTTTGCCAACTAAATGTTTCAGTTACCTGTGTATGTCTTAGCTCCCTTATTGGAAGGCAGAATCCATGTCATACAGTTTCATGCACATAGGACCATAATACTAAATGTTTATTTAATGTGGATACATTTTAATAACACACATAACTTGGATAAATTAAACTCAGGAAGAGCTGAAAAATTAGTAATAGTTACATGTTCACGTATCTGGTTGTGCCCATTTATGACATGCTTAGGTTAAGAGGACACTGACACAAAACCTTTTAGAAATAATGAGTCCATCTCTGATGTTAAATATAGAATTTCACTGTTTTTATTTGGTGTATTTGTAGAAAACACCCTTTTTCCATTTGGTCTATTTTTTTGTTGGTGGGACTGGGATTTGAACTCAGAGCTTTACACTTGCTAAGCAGGTGCTCTACCACTTGAGCCATGCCTCCAGTCCTCTTTTTTTCAATTTAAAACAATATCAAGTTAGGAACTTAAAAGATAAATGTGTGCTTAAGAGACAGGTATAGGGCAGGAGGAGCTTCAATGCTAGGAAATGTAGGAAATGGAGTAACAATGAGGCCTTTAGGGTAAACTACACACACACACACACACACACACACACACACACACTGTCATGTACATACATATATATACACCCACCCTACAAACAGTCCTCCTTTTGTACCATTTTGTCATGCACAAATCTCAATCACCACCATTTCACTGAATAATACCAGCCCCCCCAACAATACAGTGCCAATTTCAACTACCACAGTATAACCATGAGTACTTGCATAAAGTACAAACTTTTCTGCTAGCTCTTTAGTTCATAGGCCAGTACATAAATGACAAATGTGCAGCATGATTAATGACAAATCATGTCACTTGTTTCAAAAAATCTGTCAGCAATTGGTTGGTCACTGTGGATCTGTTATCCAGTTCATTTACAGACAGCAAAGTATGTAGTTGTGTTGTCTTCTTTGTCTCATAGTGATAAACCCACATGACATTTTACAAAACTAGATAATCAAAGGAGGGAATTATCCAGCAAAGAAAAAGTGTTAACACTGGAAGTGAATTGGAATCAAATGTAAATTGAGTTCTAGAAAGAGACAGGTGATCTGAGAGATAGCTGACACTGCTATCATTTATGAGACTATAGATGTGCAGCTAGAGGAACTTGATAAAAGTGAACTTACCAACATAAGTGGCTGTGATGAAAAGGATGAAGTTGTCCCAGAGGAAGTGATGCTGGCCCAAAAAAGCTTTACCTTAAAGGAACGCTAGCATATTTTGCAACATTTAAAATGCAAAGAATAAAATGTTGGCAGCTGATCTAAATTTAGGAGTGTGACAACTCACCAAGGCATAGAGAAATGTTTGCTTCCTACTGTAATTCACATGAGAAGAACAAGAAAGTCAGCACTCTTCAAATTACTCTTAATAAGTTTTTTTTGGTTTTTTTGCTGTGTTAGGGATTGAGCTCTTGGCCCCATGCATGCTAGACAAGCACTCTACCACTGAGCTACATCCACAGTCTGTTTTTTTCACAATTTTATTCAAGGTGTACAATTCAATGTTGCATATTCACAGTTGATACGTTTTTACAAAAAAATAAAACTTTCATTCTCAATGCTTTTAATGTTTTTAAATTATAGCATACTAAATGTGTTGGATTTTCCCATATATTTAAACAGGCAATAGGAGAGTCTTTAATGTTTGCTTTTTTTTTTTTTTTTGAAACAGGGTCTCACTGTGTATCCCAGATTGCCCTTGAACTCACGATCCTCCTTTCTGAGCCTCCCGAGCACCACCATATCCAGCTGTTTTTAACGTGCCAACAAAAATAAAGATCATGGGACAATTATAATCTTCCCTGTTGATTATTAAGTTTTTTTTGCATGATTTCAGCTTGTATGGCCATATAGTCCCTCACTTCTGTGCACAGTAAGAATGCCTGTATATTTTATTTTTCAAGGGTCAAGTAGTAAAATGAGTAAACATCTCAGGCATGTCAACAATCTACTTTGCCACTTATTCACTGTGTGACCATGGGCAAATTTTTGGACCGTGTTAAACTTTATTTAACAAGGTTAAATCTGTTAAAAGGTTCACATGATTTACAAACTTGAAGGTTCAAAGAGGTAATATGCCTGTAAAGAGATAAAAGTAGTGCCATGCATGGGCTGAATAAGTATCTACCATCATCTTATCTCTCTCTTCCAATATGTCTATTTGGGTAACCCTCTCTTATGACACCAACTCTTGATATATTCACAATCTGCAAGTATGGGACCCATGTCCTTAGCAAAGATAGTTGGCATCCCCAACACTATTTATTTCCTGATCCAATTCCCTAATTTCATAGGGTAAGTCTGTGAAAGAAAGAAAACGCAACCAGGAGTCCTCAAGACACTGCATTAATTTCATGTGTTATGCTGAAACAACTGAGTGAAAAACTAAGATCGCATATATTACCATTTTGCACCAGAATTTTGGGATTCCTTGTTCCTCTAGAATTGAAAAATGAGGGTAATAACACTACTCACCCACTTTGGATTCTTATGAGAATAAAAGAAATTAGTGTTACAGAAGCATTTGCTATTATTATTATTCAGGTATCTAGTTTAAGGGCCCTGATTCAGCACTGCTATCCATCCAGTTATGCAAACCAAAAACCTAGGAGCCATACCAGACACCTTTCTTTAGCTTTCCTCCCTGTCTGTCACTCAGGCCCACTGTTTTTGCTCTAATTATGTCTTGCATCTAAACCAAGCCCTAACCCAAGCTACCACCACTTCTCCTAGAATACTCAGGAATCTCCAAACAGGGAGGGCACTTTCTAACCCATTCTCTACCCTGCAGCAAGAGGGACCTCTTCACCCTTTAGATTTGATCACCTTATTTCTTGAAGCAATGCAGAAGCTTCTCATTGCATGATCTCTTACCAGCTCTGCAGTCTGGCTGCATATCATGCCTTCTGTGTGCTCTCTTCCACTGACCTGCTTTCAGGCTCCACAGCTCTTCCTGCCATAGTGCCACTTGCTCACCACTAGACTGACATGCATAATCAATTGCCTGCAGTTCTCCCTTGCTCATAGAGTCTGGACATTGTTTTTTCAAGTATGGAACAGGAGTATTCTCAGGGAAGGAGGGCCTCTGCACATAAACGACGATTGTTCTTAATCAATTGTGGGAAAGGATGCTATTTCTCTTTTTTGGTGATTGGTTTAGGGGGAGCATGTAATCCAGTTCTGACCAATGGGGCCTGGACAGAAGTCTGTGAAAGGCTTCTGAGAAAGATTTTTCCTTCTTGAGATGAAGAAAGAAGGTTGAGAGGAGTCCCTGTCTTCTTATCTTTGAATGGAGCTGAAGTCACATGGTAGCAAGTCATCTTGTTACCATGTGAAAGAAGCCAGGTGGACTGGAGAGAAGCTGACTCAGAACCCCACTGTCCCTGAGCTGTTGAATTAGCTACCCAGGAACCACTTATCCAGGGACTTCTTTCACAGGACAATAAATGGTCTGTATTGTTTAAGCCTCTTGTGGTTGGAAATATTCTGTTACTTGTACCAGAAAGAACCCGAACAGTAAGAAAACCCTTCCTTACTAGGTCAAATCCTCATTATGCACTATTTTAGCACCATGCAGTTATTTTTTATTTTGTATTCAGATGCAATTCACATAATATAAAATTAACCATTTAAACCATTATAAAGTATGCAATTCAGTGGTTTTTAGTATATTCACAATGTTATGCGACCATCACCACTACCTAATTCCAGAACATTTTCATCACCCCAAAAAGAAACCCCATATTCCTTTAGCTATCACCTTACCCCAGACACAAAAAGCCATATAAGATATGATTCCATTTATATGAAATATCTAGACTAGGCAAATCCATAGAGGCATAAAGCAGATTGGTGGTTGGCAGGGGCTGGAATGATGGAGGAATGGGGAATGACTGCTTACTCGATATCAGGTTTCCTTTTGAGGTAATGAAAATGTTTTAGAATTAGATGGTGGTGATGGCTATATAACACTGTGAATGCACTGTACTGTGCACCTGAAATTTGTCAAAATGGTGAATTTTATGTTGTATTTAACCATAATAAAAAATGTAAGACTCTTACTTCTTGGAGGACAGAATCAGGAAGCCTTTTTTGTTTGTTTTTCAACATCTAAATTTAAATTCCTTACTTGCAGGTAATCTTGCATGGTGACAATATCTATCTGATCAGCTATTTTGGACTCCTGGAAAAGACGATCATCTTCCATAATTTGCTGATGAAATTTCCTTTTCCCCATGATGTTGCAAGCATCGAGCACTGCCTATAAAGAGAATAAGAACAGGTTTTAAAAATAGTAGCAAAATACTTTTAATGATCAGCATGTACTTTACGTATATTTTTGGACAAATGCATCAAATATTGTTCCTTTCTCTTAGCAGCTTGCTATTTAATAGAAAGGCTGCATTTGCGAAGATGAGATTATATAGAGATTTTTAAACCACTTAAATTTGTTACAATAGTCATAGCTACATAGTTTTAAAATGCAGCTAGAGGAGTTGAGCTCACAACCCTCAAAGGATCAGAGTTTTGTTTTTTCCCTTTAAAATATTCTTTCCCTTTAAAAGCTAAAGAAGCCTATAACCTCATTTGTGCTGTCAATGCAAGGAAAACTGATCTGGTGATTAAACAGGTTGCCCTAGGAACTGCAATGAAAGGTGACTCTCTTTTCTGTGTTAATACATTACCCCCAAATGGAAAAAGTACAGTTCAGGTTGCTTAGGACTCCTTCCTCTTCAGACATCATTCTCAGTAGCCAAAGAGAAGCAAATAAAAGATTTTTCTTTCTCTCTTAAATGTCAACAGTTTATATTCAAGGAAAGCATCTGAGAGGTCAGAGACAAAAGAATCAAAGAAAATACGAGACTCAAATGCTATCTGGCTCTCTTAGTGCCATACCCATCCACATATACCTATCCTTGTGCTAAAAGCTATACGTTAGTACTCTCCACCCTCGCATAAGTATGCTAACTCTTCTAATACATGTTTCTATTATGGATCTGTGCTTTTGGCCACAAAGGGTCTGTTTATGTGGAGGGAGGCTGGCATAGAAGAAAATTAAAATATCTTTTGTTTCCAGACCAGTCTTTTTTCCCCCTTTGCAGCTCAGAATGTAGGGTGATAAGAGGCTGTAAAAGAGTGGTTGGGGGCTGGTGGTGTGGCACAAGTGGCAGTGCGCTTGCCTATCAAGCACAAGGACCTGAGTTCAAACCCCAGTACCACAAAAAAAGGTGGTTGGACCAAGATCAAAACTCAGAATTTCTATTTTTTTTACTTAATATTCAACACAACAGCTAGCCTTTATGTATTTTCTACTTCAATTCTCACTTTTGTTTCCAGAATATTCTTTAATTTCTAAATTCCAAAATATTCTTTGTTTCCAGAATATTCTTTAATTTTCTAAATTCCAAAGCTCTGAAGACACGTATGGAAAATGAAAAAGAAAAAAAATATTCCAGTGGTTGTTTTATTCCTAATGCAGTACATTGAAGGGGCAGAAACAGTTTGCTGAAAATATGAGGAGGAGCCTTCCTATTGGTAGATCATTTTTGCTTTCCATTTCATTAATTTCCTTATACATTATGCATCTAAAGAAAAGATAGTATTGGCACATCTCTCCATTATGCCTTCTTGCAATTGATTTCTTATGTGTTCTAACTAACCAGACCTGCAGTGACATTAAAGGTAAAAACAAATTATTGTATACTGCATAGGTATGAAAATCATGTAATTTCTGCTTTAGGAATTTTTTAGGGATAATTATATTTTATTTTAGCTCAAATTACTTAGAAAAGATACCCATTGTCAGTTCCTCCCTCTAGCCCCACTCAGCCACCACTACCAATCTCTCCAAGACCCAGTTTCCTTATTTGTATAGTGCCTAAGTTGTGTAGGGCCCATTCCAGTCCCTTAGCCAAAGAAAACCATACTTGGCAGCATAGGGCAAGCTTTCCGCCCATTTGTAAGAGGGGTTTGAAAAAAGTTTGCTGTCCAATGGCCAGATGTTCTTGTCAGAAATCTGCCATATACGTCCAGATTCAGGGAAGTACTTCTCCATAGGAAGCAATGGGAAGGAAGAGTCCGCCTCAGGAGAAAAGGGTGGGTAAAAACTAGGGAGGATTCCCAGGATGCCAACCAAGGAGAGTAGGATTCAAGGAGCAGGTTTGGTTCTTAGTGGCTGACTCAAAGGCTGGAGTGAGAGCAGCTCTAAGCCTGACACGCCGCATACTAAGCATCACTGTGGCCCAGAAACCCGCACAGCCCTGTTGCTGTTTGCTAGCCAAGATCCACACTTGGGCTTATAAAATTACTCTAATATTTCAAGTCACTTCCCTATTGCTGCTGGATATTTTCACTCATGAAGGTAAGTGATAACTGGTACTGCACTGGAAATTTCTTGCTTTAGAACAATTAAATTCAGGCTCAGAATAAAAGCCCCATTACTGTTGTTTCAACCTTGAAATTGTACACAGCACAACAGAAACAGGAAGAAGTATTTAAGTCTCAGCTAGGCCCTTGACAAGTCTCTCCAAGTTGCAGCTTGTGCATAAGCAAAATGGGAGTAATACGTCCCTCACCAAAGTGAATGGAGGGCCGTGATTGAACATGTATGACATAGTTCCTGACCTCAGGAGTGGTTAAGAACATGGGCTTTGGTCTTAGTGCCTTCACCTTCTAGTTGTGAGACCTTAAGCAAGTTACTTGATCTTTTTATAATAACAGAATATACAATATAGTGTTCATGCAAGTTAAATGAAATAATGCACATAAAATGTTTAAGATGACAATTGATAGAAAGTGATTAAGTAACATGGGTAGCTATTGTTACTTTTTCTTATTTATATAAGTAAGCCTCAAAAGGACTGGGATTTAAATGTAAAATAACAGTTGCTGGATGTTAATGGTTAAAAATTATCAACTGGCATCTTTCACGGTTCATAAGTGTGATGATTGGGGTTTCCGCACCATTTCGTGAGATGTGCTTCCTTCAAACATTGCTACCATGTAGACATGTTACGTCTGATGTGGAAAAGAAATGGTCAGTTACCCAGAATGTTTCAGGCCATAGAATGGGAGGCACTTTTAGGATAGCGCTTTCAAACTGTATGGTGCCTAGAATTACCTGGGGACCTTGTTAAAATGTAGATGCTCATTCAGGGATCTGGGGTGGGGCCTGAGACTCTGAATTTCTAACAAGGTCCAGTGGATGCCAGTGTAGGGAACTTTCAGATCACTCTTGGTAGCAAGACTTTAGAAAATTCTCTGGTGGAACAACAATAATGATGACCCTCTATAAATAAGCATTGTTCAGAAAATAGATCATCAAAGCAGGCAAGTGAAATGAGACTTAAATATATATATGACTATCCAACTGTTCTAGTACCATTTGAATAGCTTTGGCACCTTTGAAGAAAATCAATTGATCATCTACGTGTGGGTCTATCTCTGAATTTTCTATTTTCCCCTGTTTATCAATGTATCAAAGTTTTTTATCTTTTTAAGACAGGGTCTCACTATGTAGCCCAGTCTGTCTTCAAACTTTCCATCTTCCCAAGTGCTGGGATTACAGGCATGTACCACCATGCCTGGCTTGTGTGCCTATCTTCATGCCACCTTTACACTGTCTTGATTATTATAGATTTCAAGTCTTCATATCAGGTAGTTTTTCTCGAAAGCTGTTTAGACTATTCTATATCCTTTCATTTATTTTGCCCTTTATTTTTTGTGAATACATGAGAAATTCAGTTGGAAAATGATAAAGAAATGAAAGTAGAACTGGAAATAAGTTGGGAAAAGATGAAACAACAAAAAAATCTGTGAAACTCCCCCTCCTTTGTTAAGTGAAATTAGACCTAACATTGGACTAGACTAAAACTTACTAATTTATTTCAAATTAAGGAATAAGTAAACTTAGAAAAGTTGGATTGGTTTGCTAAAGACACAATACCTTTGTTCAATGACAAAGGAGTTGAGTAAACTTAGAGTGAGAAAAATTCCACTTTTGCAAGTCTTCTATCAACCATGAATCTACATGTTAGCAGAGCTTGTTCTGAAGCTCAACAAAAGAGATGAAGGAAGCCCAAGCTGTTCCCTTAAGCTGGGTATGTTCTCATCGTTTAAAACACATTATAATGTTCAGTGAAAAGCTCAAGCTGAATAGTATGATCATATTTTTATAATAAGAACAAACAAAATTATAAAATTTCTTTGCATATTTTCATGTGAAAAATGAAGGATACATAACAAACAATTAGCACTGATTACTCCAAGAGAGTGATGCATAAAGGCATATTTTCTATTTATATTTCCTGGTTATTTCCATACTTTTCCAACAATTACTATATAATTTAAAGAAAAAATTTTGCTTCCTTGTCAGGGAACTAAAAACCCCAACAAAAATAAAACAAAAATTTAATGAAGTTATACGCCATTTCAAAGAGTTTAAATGTATACACAGTGAGTTTCTGCCTCTAAGGTTCTCGATATCTCAAGCCTGGGCACAGCTAGGGCTGACAGGCACTTACCCAGGAGAACTTTAGTTCCTGGAAAAGCCCCATTATATAACCTCAGAAAAAGAATCAATAGATGATATTTTATAGGGACAACTACTGGCTTATTCCATGGATGGATGTGGCATGAATTTATCCTTCAAATGTAAGGAAAATATATCCTTACCCATCTGAAGTTAAGCTACATAATGAACAAATATTAATGTTTTTGAAAAAGTGTATTTCATAGTGAAAAATGTAGGTCATTTGATACATGTCTGAAGCAGGATTGATTGTTCTCTGATACTGCCTGTAAATATAAAGCAAAGCAGCCCCTTTTCTTTTTCTGCTACTCTTCAGAGAGTTGTCAGTGCTGCACTTGTGGGATCTGATCAGAAGCTACCAAGCTGTGCAGTCTTCTGTCCTCAACACAGCCTAGAACTCATGATTTCAGATGGGCCATACTTTTTGTGAAAAATATTTCCAGAAAGGGATTTTTTTTATATTGCTGAGGAATCAAACCTAGGCCCTTGAACATGCTAGGAAAGTGTTCTATCACTGAGCTACACTCCAGAACAGGAAAATAACCTTTCATGTACAGTTTATTAAAGGCTAAGTATGAGAATGTCCACCTTTTTTTTACTCAATTACAGTCAGGTATAGGTCAAAGGAGTAAAACCTCTGCTGTAGATCCTTGCTATGAAGAGTGTGGTCTATAGATGAGTACTCGTGGCAGCAGTTTAACAAGATCCCCACGTGATTCCTATGCTAGACACAATTATGGTGACTATGATAAGAATTCATGTAAAAAAAGATAAATATTTTAAAAGTACATTTTCAATATATTTTGGCATATTTATTTCTAAATGTTACTAGAATCAAAGAAACAATAAAATTCTATTAAAACAAAGTTGCATCAAATGTTCTGCGTAATTTTAAAGCCCTGACCAATAGGCCACTCTAGTCATTGTTAAAAACCCAAAATTTTAATACAAGAAAACTGATGGATATTTTCTGGAGCCCCTTATATAAGTACTTCATTCTAATTTTTTTAGCTGTTAAGTAGAGACACTTTGAAACATGGTGCTTAAAAAAAAAAGCTACATTCCTGATCTGTTTAATGGAGAAATAACTTAGCCTGCACACTTTGAATGCAATTCAGATACCACATAGGTGTTATGAAGCTAAATTAACATAAAATGTACATCATGAAACATCACCTTACTCGATGGCTTTAATAAATTTTTCCCACTGAAATACTTGTTATTAGAGCCGTCACCATGTAGAAAGATTTTAAACACAATGAAAGGTGGAAATGTTTCACCATTAAATCTGAAATAAAGACCAAAAATTAGTTACGTGGCATCAGTTTTTGGGCTTCGTTAACTTCTTCCCCTTGTATTTAAGATAGCTCATACAGTTTCTTGAATACAGGGCAAGAGCTATGCCAAGAGCACATAAAGATCTAATAATGGAATGGATCACAGAAGATGAAAGATCCACACTTTGGTGTACTCACAATTATTTTCTACTTGTGTAAAACTGGACATAGAATAGGAGATGAGACCTACTCTCGTGACAATCTTTATTTATTTCTTTATTTTTTAGCAGTACTGGAGTTTGAATTCAGGGTCTCACACTTACTTGGAAGGTGCTCTACCATTTGAGTTACACCCCAATCCCTTTTTTCACTTCAGTTATTTTTGTGATAGGGTCTTGTACTTTTTAACCAGGGCTTCCTGTGTAACTGTAATTGTAGATGTGAGCTACTGTGTCTAGCTAGTTTGTTGAGATGGGGGTCTTGCTAACTTTGTCCCCTGGAACTGTTATCTTCCTGATCTTCCTGATCTCTGCCTCCCTAGGAGCTGGAATTTTAGGTGTGTGCCACCATACCCAGCCCTTTCATGCAACTTTTAGCCAAAGAGTCATGCCTTATATTCTTCATATAACAAACATAAACAAGGACAACACATTTACTTTATAATTATATACTGAGATGTTGTGAGGATTTAAAATAATTTCTAAGATGTCTCCTTATTAACTACAAAGTCCTTGAAATAAATCAGCATAGGTATATTACCTGAATCTGACTTTACACTTCATGCTAGGATCTTTGACAAGTTTAGCCTCAATGGGGCTCACTGTCTTCAGTATTTCATGTGCCACAAACTGTTCCTGAAATAAATAATGGTGCTGTAAACAGAAAGTTCCTAGACTTAATTTGCTGACTATAACAGAGGAAGCATGGTCAAGTGATCAGTTCACTGGGCTTGGAGTTCTGAAGAGGCAGGTTTCTATCTTGGCTCCTCCATTTATCATCTATGTAGCCTTGAGTCAGTTATTTAATCTTTTGGCTCTCCAAATTTGGGTGTCTATGTCCCTTTTAGAGATTGCAGGCATTGTTCTTTCCCTATGACAACACTTTTCACAATCTATTGTAATTATTTATAAACTTGTCTGTGTTTTCTACTAGACTTATAAGCATCATGAAAGGAGGGACGTCTCTTCTTTATCACTTTATTCCTAGTATCTAGTATAGTGCCTGGAATACACCAGATACTTTAACAGGTATGTGATATTGAATGAATCATTGTAACATGAGAATGATAATAGTGATAAGTTACTTTTAAGCATCTTTTATATGCCACATACTAGGTTAGCTGCCTTATATACATAACTCATTTAATCTTAACAACAATAATACTATGAGACTACTATCACCCCATTTTACAAATGAGAAAGCTGAGGCACAGGGAGTTTTTGTAACTTACACAACAGCATACAGGTAGTAAATGGGGGAAGTTAGGAATCAAACTAAGATCTCTTTGACTCTAAAACTTCCGCTCTTTCTCCCGCATGACCCCATTTGACCTCATGCCTATGATAATCACATATAATACAGGATAAAGGGCTTTTTTTTTCCTACAAGACCAAGCATTGTTTTTTATCTGGTGGTACTGGGGCTTGAATTCAGGGCCTCATGCTTGCTAGTCATGTACTCTACCACTTGAGCCATGCTCCCAGACCTTTTTGGCTTTTAGTTATTTTTCAGGTAGGGGCTCATGTTTTTGCCTGGGGGCTGGCCTTAGACTGTGATCTTCCTATCTCTAGACTCCTGAGTAGCTGGGAGAGGAGCATGTCACCACACCCAGAAGACAAATCATTATTAATAAGGTGTTACACTTAAAGCATTAAAATAACACATGAAAAGAATTGGTTTCCTTCTTTCTGTTATTAAGAGTCTAAAATTATGAGGAAACCAGGAAGATGATAATTAAAAATGAGCTCTGTATGCAAAAACAATGGATAATGGACCTGAAATGTCAAGAGTTTACCTGGGTCGGTTTTTTCCTGTGGTAGTATACTTTTACTAACATCACAAATAGGGCTGTGGGTCAGATGATGAAGAACACAATGCTCAGACTTTATAACTTTTCAGGACTGCTAAAATTTCCTTAATGTGACTATCGCTAATAATATGCTACTAGAATTCTGAGATATTTTACTGGGAGAATACTTGGACTATACCAAGGAAGGCTTAATAAGTCTGCTGGAATTACCAGAGTTGTTTTAGGGGGAGGGAGGAAGTGCATTTGTTTTTGTTTTTTACTCAAATAGGATTATACTCTTCATACTGTTCTGACTTGCCTTTTTCACTAACAAGCTATCTTGGTTTTCTTCCTATCACAGAATCATGTTAATGCTATGAGGTTTAACACTATGAAGACAGTAATATTTACTTGCTCTTGCAATCAATGCTACAATGAAATTCTATATATTAAAGAATGGACTCTTAGAAGTGAAATTGCTGGGTGGAAGGCAAGGGCACTGTTAATTCAGAGATTTGTTTTTAGTGTTGAGAATCGAATACAGAGCCTCACACATGGTAAACACATGCTCTACCACTGAGCTCCACCCCTAGCCCCTAATTCAGAGATTTTTATTGTTAGAAGATCACTGCTTTATATCTTCAAGTAAGGAATAAATTCAAAAGCAAAAAACGGTATGTTAATTTCAGAAAAAGAAATTAACAGAATTAAAAAGAAATTATTAATTATTTTAAAATAAATCCAGAAATATTCATTTAGGGTTAACAGAAGCAGCAATTTCAGAACCTTATATAATATTATTATATCCAAATAGAAGAGGTAAAGAGGGTTATCTATTCTACCTTTAATTAACAGATCTTTTAACTTGATAAGTAATTAAATCTGGTAGAGAAAACAAAAAGAAATATACATACCGCTGCACAAATTGTATGTTTTAGGAGTTGAAATATTGTTTTGTCCACATGAATGAACCAAGCTCTCTGTATTATTAGAGCTGAAACTTCTCTATTAATTATGAGAGGAAAAAAAGAAGTTAATATTTATGAAGTAGTTATCATTTTCCTAAAATCTTGGAAAACTCTCAATTTATGCTTCCTCTTCCTATACCTTTCCATTTCCCACGTTAAGACTGACCTAATAAGGAACATTTGGATATAGTAATTGGAACTGGTCATTTACAGAATCTAGTCAGAGTGAGGAAATTACTTAAGAATTTTTCCCTTAAGATTATAAAATCCTGGCTACTCATCAAGAGGCATGCAATAAATAGGGCTAGGGTGTAGCTCAGTGGTAGAGCACTTGCCTAGTATGTTCAAGACCCTGGATTTGATTCCCAGTACCTCAAAAAAGAAAGCATATAATAATAAAAAGCGTTAGGACACAAGCATGCTTTCTAAAACATCTATGATCTAAAATGATTTTGGTTACATTAGTTCTTACAAACACTATCCAATTAGTTCAAGTGCAATGAAAATGCTGTGTCTAAGAACTGAAGTTACAAGAGGCCCAGTTTTCTTCTGATGACTATGACCTAGAAAAAAGAAATTCCTTTCTCTGATTTTTGCTTGAACCAGAATCATCTCTGTCAAGTCAGAGAATTATTCTACTTTTGATCATGTCCAAGCAATGGCAGATTGCAAGGGTCTCCTTCTCCCAAACTCTCACACCCTGCCATTATCTCTTATAGTGCTGCGTGCACAGAAAAGGACACCTGCACAATGTCACCCCTAGCTGGAAAAATGCTGATTATAAGGTGTAGAGAAGAAAAGGCCTGACAGCTGGGTGCTGGTGGCTCACATCTGCAATCCTAACTACTCAGGAGGCAGAGATCAAGAGCACTGCAGCTCAAAGCCAACCCCAGGCAAACAGTCTGAGAGACTCTATCTTGAAAATACCCAAAATAAAAATGGGCTGGTGGAGTGGCTTAAGTGGTAGAGCGCATACTAGTAAGTGTGAGGCCCTGGTTCAAAACCCAGTACTGCCAAAAAACAAATAAATAAAGTCCTGACATATGGAAACAAACCTTTGAATACTAACTGATGTCATTTATTAGCTGGTTTAATGTTCTACAAGTCACTTACCTTCTCTCAGTTGCTTCTTTCTCATTTATAAAATGTAATAAAACTGTTTCACAAGGTTGTATCAGGATCAAATAGATGTGTGTTACCATGCTTTGTAAATTACAAAATATTAAAATTATAATAGTTATTTATTTGAAGGTAATTTTAAAGTACAACAAACTTTCAATTTACACAAGAAGTGATTGAAGTTATCTGGGTAAATTTGGGTAAGTTTAGAAACTGTCCAGTGTGGAAAATGACAAAAGGCAAAAGATGGGTACTTACAGTTTTTTTGCCTCCAGCTTTTCAATAGTTGTCATACGTGGCTTTTGGTCTTTTTCTGGCAGTTGCTTATCTGATTTTGGAACATCAGTACCTGTTGCTTTTGAGGGATTATTCATTTTTCCCTACAGCAAAGTAATCTGAAAGTACATAAATTAAGTCTTTAAGGTCATAATCTTTTATTACACCATTTGGACTAGACTCAAATGCCATATTATTTTGCTAATTTTAGAACCCTTTAAAAAGAAAGGCACTGTGGAGCTCTTAATGTTGCTTAAAGCTTACATTCTTTGTGTACCAAAAATAATTGTGTTGTATGTGTGAAAGACAAGTGGATCTACCCATAGCCTTCTAATTGTCTCTCTGTCTCCGATTTTTCCTCCTCCTAGTCATCTTCCACACTACAGCTGGGGTTAACTTTTTAGAACAATAATTCAATCTTGCTGGGCACCGGTGGCTCAAGCCTGTAATCCAAGCTACTCATGAGGATTGTGGTTTAAAGCCAGCCCAGGCGAATAGTTCTGCGAGACCTATCTCGAAAAAACCCTTCGCAAATAAAAGGGCTGGTGGAGTAGCTCAAGGTGTAGGCCCTGAGTTCAAGCCCCAGTACCAGAAAAAAAAGTTCAATCTTATTACTCTCCTATTATTACCCTGATAAACTCACTGAAGGCAGGAGACACCTTGCTAACTATGGAATCTCCAATGCCTTAGCAGAGTGGTGGGTTTTACATACTTGTCTGAAAACTTTTCACCCCAGTTTTATCAAATAGCTGTGAAACTTTGGGCAAATCACTTAACCTGTGCATGGTTTAGTTCCCTCCTTGGTAAAGTGAGAGGGGATGTAGTAAGTTACCTGATTCAGCCTCTAATTTTTTTAATAATGCTTTGAAGCATTACTCTAATTTGGATGCAGATCCCAAATTCTTAGTCATATTATCAAAATCTTAAAAAAAACAAAATTATAGTAATATGTGTCTTCTTTATGCATGAAATAAAATAATAAATCTAGTAACTACTTTACTTTTGAAGTAGTAATGAACATAAATGATATTTTGAGTGATCTGTCATGACTGTAATATGGTATGAAAATATCTGTACTTTCTATTAATGATAAAGTCACAGATACTGCTAATACTACTGTGGTTTGTTGCCTACACTATAATTCAAAGAAGTGCTAAGTTCAGTTAGAGGTTAGTGAAAATGAAGTTGTCATATTCCTCCCATGTGGGTTCATGTACCCTCTGAATTAAGAACTCTGGCTCAAATTTATCACTGTTTCCTAGTTTTATATATGTAAGCCATTTCATTACTGATGAAGGCCTTCAGAGGGTATTAACTATCTCTCCTTGGGGATGGGGATGGCCTGGAATACACGATTCTCCTGAGGAGGAAAGCAGCCCTTAATATCTGGGAGCTGGCCTGGCACTAAGCTGGGCCTTGGTGTTATCACCACATCCTAACAACAACCAGTCCAAAGCAAAATCCTGCTTCCTTGAATTGGTTCCCAAATCACCCAACCAAAGCCCAATCTTATGATAAATCTGACACTCTAAGGGTTGGTGGAGTAGCTCAAGTGGTAGAGCGCTTACCCAGCAAGCCTGAGGCCCAGAGTTCAAACCCTAGTAAAAAAAAAATCTAACAGTCTCTTACTGAAATGTCCGTTTCCCCTAGGTGTGTTTTTCTTGCAGCAAGAAGAAACCCAACTTCTTCAGTGACAGGTGTGTTCCTAGTAGTCTTTGACCAGAGGACAGTGATACACCACTGCACAAATCCCAAAATGTTCTGTTTTCTTTTTTCTCTTTTGGCAGTACTGGGGTTTGAACTCAAGGCCTCACGCTTGCTAGGCAGGCGCTCTACTACTTGAGCCATGTCACCAGCCCCATAAATCTTCTGGATGCCTGTCTGAATGGGACTTCTACTTTCTATGGGATTAGGATGGAAATACAGAATAAAACATGAAATACGCTTTTTGAGACAGGCTAACAATTGTTTAGGCTAGAGCACAGACTTCAAAGGCAGACTACCTGGGTTTGAATCCTGGCTTCCGTCTTTGTGTGGCTTTGTACAAATTACTTAAATTTTTCTATGCCTCAGCTTCTTCCTCTACAGGATGGGAATGAAAATCATGCCCACCCACGTGGTTTAGATGAATAATAATGAGCTTAGAGAAGAGCTGTGCACATAGTCCTCTGTTAGTGCTTGTTATTCATATTAATAGATAATTACTGCCATTATTGTTTAGTTCTGAAAGTATTAAGGGACAAATATTTGATTCCCAGTGAAGGACTTACTCTTAAGCATATTAAAGAGAAAAAAACAACAGAGCCTTTCGTGACTAAACGATGTGGTAAATTAGTTTAAATTTAAAATTGAGAAACGTCCAACAAGATACAAAATCTAAAAACCTTTTGTGAGGTAAATCCAAACACCCGTTAGGCAGCTTCTGGCTGCGAGGCTTTCCAAGCCTTTCTAGGTCCCCCGAGCGCCCCCGCCCGGCCGCCTCTGTGGGCAGAACTCGTGGCCCACGCCACCCGACGTCCAATAGCAGCGGCGAAGGCGAAGGCCAACTTCCCGGGCCTCCGAGCGCCCGGCGAGTCCCTCCTCTCACCCTCGCGTGCAGCCCATGCAGAACCGGCACTTTCTGCCACCTAGCAACAGCCGACGCGGGGGCGGAGCCTCCAGGTGGGCGTGGCTTGCGTTAGCCCGCCATCCGGGCGTGACACGCTGCTGCTCAGCAATGATGTTGCTTCCAGCCCAGGTTGCCTGAAGTAAGACTTTGCTGCATTGAGTCGGCTGTACCGCCGTCATCCGCACCGCAGCCAGCTAGCAGTCGAGAGAATCAGGGCCCTACCGGGCCTCCGTAGTCGCCTTTCTACAGTGGGCGGGGCCGAGGCCGGGGTGACCCTGCCGGAACCGCCGCTGCCAGCGACATGTTCAAGGTGAGAACGTGGAGCTGGGTCACAGCTGTCATCGCCCCCTCCCGGCCACCCGAAGCCCTCCCCACACTCTCGTGGGTCCTCTCCGGGGACCAGGCCTGGCTCGCCCCAAGGCCGTTCCCGCCTCCGGGTCTGCTGCGTCCCGGCCCCGCGGTTCATTCACCGGTCTGCTTCGGGCGAGAGTTGCCGGGCGGAGGCGTGACACCCCGACGGTCCTTGGGGTCGTGGTTTCGTGAATAAAACACTTTGAAAAGTTAAAGTGCCTTCCTCCAAAGAACCCACCTCCCTGGCTGGTGCCCTTTTGGGATCGTGGGTGAGGCCAGCTCAGGATATTGAGGGTTCATGGCTTTGGTTGCTTGGCAGGGTCTGGTTTCAGAACCTGGAATGTGGGTGGGGGAGGGTCACCTTCCGAGTAGCTGCAGAAGGGTGTAGGAGAGGCTGGCATGGGAATGGCTGCATAGTTGGGGTGGCTGGAGCCAGTCGACCACCTTACGGTTTTTGAACTCGTGTCCATCGAAACAAATCGACTTTTACAGTGAAGACTGTTTCAAAAACCTGCATTTTAACATAAAGCCATCATTTTACTTTCAAAAAAGGAATTATTTTCAGTCATAAAAAGGAAAATTTCAGACTACTAGAAATCTACAAAATTGAGTCTTCAAAAAATCCATAAAATAGTGCTAATGGAATCTCAAAATTGTACTATTATTTAAGAGTTTCATTGGGCACATTGTAAGGGCTACAAAATCAGATCATGACCTTCCAATCCTGGTATTGCCACTTTCTAGCTCTAGTGACCTTAGGTAAGTCACTTAACCTCTCTTTGCCTATTTTCCTATTGGTGAAATTAGGCGATAACTCCCATGTTAAAGGGTTGTTAGAAGGAGTAAGTTGGTATATGTAAAATCCTTGGAAAAGGCTTTGGCATATAGAAGAACCATGTAAGTATTTGTTTTTATTTGTTTTCAGGCAGCTCACAGTTCAGTCAGAAACACAGGTTGTTTGCAGCTTGCATTCATTTGATCAAGTTTGTGTTGAACACCTATTATGTGCCAGTAGTGCAGCAGTGTTTTAGGGTTACCAGGATGAAGATGTGCTCTGATCAGTTTACCTGTTTGGGTACCAATTATGTAGTATGGCTATGGCTGAATCTACTTACTCTGACCAGGGGTCCTTAACATCGGGGCCCTTTAAAGGGTCTGTAGATAGAGCTCAGGGGGATCCCTAAACTTTTAGGGGAAAATCTTGATATTTCATCAATCTCCAACTGAAATTAAACATTTCCTTCAGTTATGAATGTGGGTAACGAATCATTGCAAACCATTGTCATAAAACAGTAATATTATCTCACCCTCTGTGAGTTGGTTGGGCAGTTATGTTGTTGTCCCTCAGTGGCTGAACTCAGCTGGTGTCTTGACTGAAAGGTGGCCTCATTCCCATGTAGGGGGCTTTGCACCCTCCATACGCCTAGCTTGGGCTTCTTCACGTGGTTACTGGATTCCGGGAGGGCAGGTACCAGGGCACATGCACTTATCTGCGTTACATTTACTGATGGCAAGCCAAATCTATATAGTTGATATAGTAGGGGACTGAGTATAAAGGGTCATGGATATGAAGAGATGTGGTTAATTGGGGGGACATTAACAAGCTTCTACAGCAAGAAATCACAGTAGTATTAGCAATACGTGTCACCAATAGAAGTGACAGTACCAATGCAAGTCATAGGCATTTTCATATCATGTTGTTACAGATCTCAAAATACCATTTATGCTCACCACTATTTCAAAATTAGGGAAGTTATAAGGCCCACTGCTAGATCTTTTTATTTATTTAATTTTAATTTATTTTTTTGGTAGGACTGGGGTTTGAAAACAGTTGCTCTGCCACTTGAGCCACACCTCCAGTTTAGTTTGCTCTGCTTATTTTGGAGATGAGGTCTGGGAAACTATTTGTCCGGACTGGCCTGAAACCGTGATTCCTCCCACAATCTCAGTCTCTCAAGTAGCTAGGATTATAGGCATGAACCATCAGCGCCTGGCTAGATCTTTTTATTTTATAGGCTAATAAAGAAGCATAAGGGCTGACAAAGTGACTCAAGCCATAGAGAGCTTACCTAGGCAGCATGAGGCCCTGAGTTCAAATCCCAGTCTCCCCCCCCCCCAAAAAAAGTGTAAATTACTGCATCAGAAGTTTGGGTTTTAAAAATATACTTATTATTTTAATATAATTGTTATTTTATGCAATTAGAAGCATTATTTTGAGAAGGGATCCATAGGGCTCACCAAAGAGGTTTATGTCACAAAAGAGGCAGGAGACCTCTAAGGACTTCAGAGAAGGCTTCACAGAGAGGACATTTAAATTTAGTTCTGAAATATAGTAGGAATTCATCAGGTGGATGAGCCTGGGGGTACATCAGCAGTGGTACTCCATTAAAGGAAGTGCTGGTAACTCAGTTTGATGTGTTAAGGGAAAGCTACCTTGAGCTGAAATCATTCCAGGTGAACTTGTACTTTGAATATAAAAGGATCACAACAAACCTTGGAGGACACCAAAATGTTAGGAGTAGGTGAAGGAAGAAGGGAGGCCAGGACTGGAGAACTTTTGAAAAGTAGAAAAGAATGAGGTTTAGCAAATCAAAGGATAAGTGGCAGGGGATGTAAGTCAGTGGTAGAGTACTTGCAAGAGCCCCTGGGTTTGATTCCCAGCATCATGGGATAGGGGAGAAAAAGAAGGGGAAAAAAAGAAAACCAAGGGAGGAAAAGGTGGTCAGACTACATTAGGATGCTTTCACAGGGAAAACTCATTTTCTTAAATAGTAATGAAAATTATCTCACAAAGTTCAGAGGAAGGATGGACTCTGGGCTCATTGGTTCAGTGGATCAACAGTGCCATCAAGGACCTGGCCTTTGGCTCTCTATGGTAATGTTGGTTTCCCTATGGTTACAAGGATACCTGCCAGTAACACACTTTCTCATTCACTAGAGCAAAAGAAGGAGAGAGGATGAAACTCCCACGCTTTGATTATATTCTTCATTTAGGTCTGATTGGACCAACTTGGGTCAGTTATCTACCCCTGATCCAATAGTTACTAGGGAAATGCCATGCTCTGATTGGCTTAGGCCAAACTGGATCACTTTACCTTAATCACATGGAAGAGGAATGAATTCCTGAACACAGTGGAGTTGTTTTAGGAAGGAAGATGGGCCAGTGGAGACTGGATCTGCAACCACCAGTGTCCATGTCAGTGAGAAAATTAGATGGGTTTGAACAAGTGTTCATTGATTTGGACACTTAGGAAAGTACTCATGATCCTGATACATGTAGATTTACCTATTTACCATAGGTTGATGACTCAGAGATAAGTAAATGGATCCAAAGTTTGCTGTCAAGAGGAGAGAATATGGTAATGAGAAGGAAATGTTGGATGGAGATTTTTTTAGACTTGTTTGAGATTTGGCAGTGTTGGGGTCAAGGGAGTTTTTTTTTTTCTTGGTGGTACTGGGGTTTGAACTTGGGGCCCTGTGCTTTCTAGGCAGGCATTCTACCACTTGAGCCAAAATCCCCAGCAAAAGTACATTTCTTTCTTTTTTTGTGCAGTACTGGGGTTTGAACTCAGGGCTTTGTGTTTGCTAGGCAGGTGCTCTACCACTTTGAGTCACACCTCCAGCCCAAGAAGAGAGCTTTCACAAGAGAGAATTCCTTAGCTTTACTAAAGCAGGGAGTGGGGAGGGTGACCTGACTTCTTTCTGTGAGATGGAAGGAAAAGAAGGGTGGGATTAATTGGAGACCACTGGCTCTCAGCTGAATGGTAGCATCGCTTAGGTTATGTTTTGGAAATTTGGGGGGGGGGTTGTTCTTTATGTCTTTAGTTTAGTTGTGCTGAACATGTATATACTGAACTGTAATTCTTGTAAATCTCTCCTTTTGTCACCTTTATGTTATTATCAAGTAGCATGCTGATACTGTGTTTTGGACTAATGTGTATCAGTGGATGATGAGTTTTACTATAGGATAGCAAAAATGGTACCAAGTATTTGTCATAAAATGGTGTTGTTTGGTCTAGTATTTGAGAGCCAGTGCTGTCAAACTTTAATATGCATGTGACTCTTGTTAAAAATCTAGATTCCACCCTCCTACCAAGGCTTGTCTTTGGTTTGCTGTCTTTGGATACATAAGAATTGGAGGCAAAGAAATGTGGATTTGGAGAAATCTGGGGCCAGCTTGCTCCCCGCAGGCTCAAGATCAACCATGCCACACAGAAGCAATGAAAAAAAAATCCAGATTCCAGTGCTGTTGCTCAACCATCACACTGTTTTTTTTTTCTTTTTGGTAGGACTGGGGTTTGAACTCAGGGCTTCATGGTCGCAAAGCAAGGCACTCTACTGCTTGATCCACACCTCCAGTCCCCCATCACACTTTGACTACCTAAGAATTGAGTCAGATTGGAAGTGAATGTTTCTTGTATTTTTGAGACAGATTACTTTATGAGCATGGTAGGATTTGGAAGAGGCACTGACCAAGGAACAAAACAAGCCAGAGGCTTTGAGAGAGCTCTGCTTGAGAACATTACTACCACAGGTTTCTGCTCAGTGGGGATACAGCAAATGGTAGGGTTGCTCTGGCTTTGGGAGTTAACAGCTTGGGGCAACTAGGGCTGGAGGACAGAGGAGTTGATAGTATAGGTGTTGAGTAACTAGTTATATGCATATTTAATTAAAATATTTTAACTGTAATTGTTTTGATTTAGTTATTCATTCTCAGACCAGTAGGGGGCATTCATGGATTAAAAAACACATTTGAAAAACTTAACCAGTTATTTGCAGTCCATTGTAGGAAGCAGCTTTTCCTTGTGCTGCTGCAAGTTTCCCCAGATGTATGTGGCTAGATTTTATTCATTTCACAGATTTTACCACTGGCCAACTATGGACTGGGTACCTTGATGAGTACAAGTGAAATGACTGGTTCTTATCTAGAAGAGAGTTCCAAAATCTGGGCAGGAATCAGAATTATTCAAGGACATAATTAGCTTCCAGGGCCCTGAGCATAGTTCTGATTTACTTTTTTAGGTGGGGTTCAGGAACCTCTAGGCTGAAAAAAAAAAAACCAGATGTTATCAATATAGATATAAGTGCATTACAGTGCAGTGGGTCTCAACCTTGCTTGTTTGAGTCACCTGGGAAGCTTTTAAAAGTCTGGATGTCTAGTCTGGATCCCAGACCCATGACATCAGACTCTCTAAGGGTGGAATATAGTCAAGTTTTTGGACCATTCCTCTAACCTTAAGAACTACTAAACTTAGAAGGAAGAACACCAGTAGGGGGCGTCAGTAGACTTTATAGAAGAGAGTATGCTTGTGCTGACCTTTGAAGCTAGGCAGACAAGGTCCTTTAAGCAGAGGAAAAAAAAAACATGCAAGGACAAAGAAGTAAGAGAATTCAGCACAAGGTTAAAAGCTTGAACTTCTCCATGTTATTGGGAGAGAAGTACTACAGTTCTCTTTATCTGTTGTCTTGTCTGTAAAACAAGGATAAAACTCACACCAACCTCAAATTGTGTAGGTTAAATTTACTCATATGCAAAGTTTAGAACTGTGGTTGGCACAAAGTAAGGGCTGAGGACATGTGAGCTATCAGTTAGTTTTAGATGGCATCTTGTAGGCGCTGCCGAGGTTGTGTTAATGATGATGCACAGTCCCCAAAAATATTTTTTTATTTCAAAACTTAGTAGTTAATCAGAGGTGGCAGAGGAGATTCAAGGATCCTACCTAGGTTTTTGGCTTAGAAAATTGAGTTGTCTTTAGACCTATTCATTAAGATAAAGAAGTGGGGGAAGGCTGAGCTTGGGGAAAGTAATAGTTTTTATTGAACAGGTTTGGCTTATTTAAATGGTGTCTGTGGACATCTAGAAGTGGTGATCCCTTGGCAAAGACACCAAGGGTATGGAGTTCTCCTGAGGAACACGTGGGCTGCTGATTGGGAAATCCTGAGCTGGTTTCCTGCTGACCAAGGCCTCTGGAGCCAGAAGGTGGCCTAGTGAAAGCTGGTCTGAGTCACTTCCTTCCTGAAGAGCAATGATTTGACCTGTGCTCAGAGCATACCACCAAAGGAGCTGCAGTAAACAGCTGTAAGTCACTATTACCTCACATTCTTTGCAGCTTGGTTTAATGCCTATATTGCTTGTCTTTCTTTCTGAAACTAATTTTCTTGCCATGTTACTAGTACAAACTGAGGAGAAAATTACAATGCCAAATGGGAAAGGAAAATCTTCCTTAAATTGGAAGAACACTCTGACTTTTATACTTGATATTATTTTAAATGCTACGTATTTTGAAAGCAGAGATCTTTTTTCCCCTTACAATTTAAGCATCTTTGAGGGAAGTCTTGAGGAATTATAGCGAGCACATTTGTACTTTCATAAACACATTTTTATGTGTAGAATTAGTTGTTTTTTTCCTTTCATACCCTTCAAAGAATTTAAACATAGATCATAAAAACATAGATCACAAAGCTGCCCTGCAGCTTTGGCTGCAGTCTGAAAGCTCAGATTCTAAGTGTTTTGTTTCTGGTTTCTGGCTGAGTGACCTTCACTAGGTTTCTTTTTATTTTTTTTTCCCAGCACCCTGAGTATCCTAAGTAAGCTCTCTACCACTTGAGCTACAGCCCCAGCTCTTTTGTTTTTGTTTTTATTTTTTGAGATAGGGGCTCAGTAAGTTTGCCAGGCTAGCCTTGAACTCTTGATCCTCCTGCCGATGCCTCCCAAGTAGCTGGGATTACAGATGCGTACCACCACACACAGCTTTTGACGGTACTATGAGGATAGTCATTTCCCCCTCCATGTCTCACAGGGTTGTTGGGAGGTTCACATGAGGTGACATGTAAGATGAAGCATTATATGTGAGGTGTTTTCCATCTCTCCTGCATCACATCCATCTTTAAAGTGATTTATGGTTGCACCCTGGACCTAGGACTATAAAAAGTGGATCACACTTGGATGAATTCACATCTTATTGGGAAGTGAATTCTGCTTGGGACACTATAGCACTTTTCAGCCTACCTTCTAAAATGCAAATAAGCCTCCCTGTTGCAACTAGCACTAGAGGAGAAGGAAGTAGATGCATTTAGTGATGCTTTAAAAGAATGGGGAAATCAAAAAGCAAACAAATTATTAAAAAGAAAAAGACAAAAGAAAAGCAAAAGACAAAAAAAAGCTCCCACAAAAGCAAGCAAAAAGAATGGGGAGATCAGAAACAAAATGGAGGAGAAAAGTAGATAATTTACTAGACTTTTTGATAAGTGAAATTAGCTGTGAGGCCTGTTAATGTTTGTAGACTATTATGACATAAAACCATAATTTATGATCTATATGTGTGTTCCACACCCATATCCTTTCCAGACCAGAATGTAACTTCTTACAGTCTAAGAAATGAACTTTGATGATATTTGTATAGTACAATTACAATTACTGCAAGTAATTCCAACACTATTCACAATAGCCAAGTTATGGAATTAGCCTAGGTATCCATCAGCTGATGAATGGTTAAAGAAAATGTCTACATGCACAACCATAAAGAAAAATGAAATTAATGCAATTTGCAGGAAAATGGATGGAACTGGAGATAATCATGTTGAACTAAATAAGCCAGACTCAGAAAGACAAACATCAGGTGTTTTCTAGATTTCATATCAAGTGAATCTAGATTTTAAAAAAAAGACATGAAAGTGGAAGGAGGGCTATTTGGGAAGAGAAAGGGGACCAGTGGAAGGGGGCACAGGGGACAAGAGAGGGTATGGAGAATGAATATGATCAAAGTGCGTTATACATATGTATGAATGTGTCATAATGAAACCTATTTTATGCAATTAATATATACTAATAAAAGTACTGCAAGTAACTAAATACATAAGAAATCTCTATAGCAAAATACATATCTGTTTCAAAAAGTTTAAAGTTGACTATAATATGACAAAAAAGTGCCAAAGAGTTTTTCCCCTTTTTCTGGTGGTACTGGAGTTTGAACTCAGGGCCTCACACCTGCTAGGCAGGTACTTTATACTTGAGCCACTCCACCAACCCTTTTTGTGTTGGGTATTTTTGAGATAGGGTCTCTCTTTTTTTCTTTTTTCTAGGGGGCCTGGGCTGACCTTGAACTTCATTCCTCCTGATCTTTGCTTCCCGAATAGCTAGAATTACAGGTGTGAGCCACCAGTGCCTAGCCAGTGCCAATTTCTTGATGTGGTAGCTTTTAAAATTTGTGTTTGTTGTACAGTGTCTTGGAGAAGCAAGAGTTCAGAGCAAGGGTCATACAGCTTTCAATATGCTGGAGGTCTATAACTTTGAATATTAAGCTGTGTTTTTATGATACAGCTTTATTGATAGTATAATTGTATTTTGAGTTAATTTTGTTTTAAAGGCTCTTTAAGTCTTCAGACTTCTTGCTGACTCTTTGAAGCAGCGCGGTATATTTTACTTAAAGCCCACACTGGCTACCACTTATGGGTTCCTTTGCTTGGTTCTGTGAGGACGAGGAGCCCCCTTGAAGCTCGTAGGAGGTTTGCAAATGCATGTTCGTTGCTTTAGCTGGAAGGAATGCCCAGTAGATTCTTTCTCAGATATGTATACTCATTCCTTTGAACGGTCTTTTAAAATAGGATATACGAAAGTGAAAAAGTTCCTTTTTTCTTTTTCCTCGTTCCACACACGTCAGTCCTTGTGAAATAGCAGCTTGTTTACCTCTGCTAGCTGAAACGAGTCTGCTTTCGCACTTGGTGGGGGGGGCCTGATTCACGTGTGTAACGTGACAAAGGTTAAATGGGTGAGGAAGTAGGCACAAAGCAATGTGAAAAGCCGGGCAGGTCTCTCCGATTGTCCGTTGGTAGCTTACGTCACTTGACAAATACTAATTTTGATCCTGTTTGTAGAACCACACTGTTTGGGAGCTCTGTGGAAGTTGCTGTGTATAATCCAAATATTTGTTTTTCTTGTTTTCATTCCTTATTTTTTACAGAGATTTCAACTACAGATTCAGATTGTCATCAGCTGAATTGAGTCTTGCATATGATTTTTTTTGTCAGGAATTTCAGTTTTCTTTTCCCTAAAGAACAAAAGGCGTATGAATAGCCAAGATGAGGTTGAAGTCAGTTTTCTTCAGAGTTCAGATGGTGGTCTATTAGAAAATGAAAGCTGGGTCTAGATATATTTTACCTTGACAAAGTAGCTCTTCCTGTTAAATAATGTTCATTTTTTTAGTTTGTTGAAAACAGAGGTTCGTTTGAAAAGCAAGGCTTGAAGTAAGTAAGTGTCCCCTACAATTTTTTCCTCCCTATATTTCTTTAGCTCAGAAAAGATTGAGTGGATCTTAGGATGCCATTCCAGGAGAGGGAAAAAAACATACATTGACGTTTTCATTGTGCAACAATTTCTGTCTGGATAAGGAAGTTAAAAATAAGTTTGGTATCTGATAAATTATGTATCATCTGTGTTCCAACTCTGTGAAACCAGTTCTGCTAAACTGGATGACTCAAAATCTGCCTAAATGAGTAATTATCTCGCTCTTTGGCCCTGAGGTTTCTTTCCTGTTTATCACACAAGTTTGTTATTTTTTTTATACGTGAATTTTACAAAATTTGATAGCTATTTTTAGAGAATAGAAAATGAAACAGTTAACAGATAAGATATATTTTCTTTGTTTTGTTAGCCTAATTTTTTTTTTCGGTGGCACTGGGGTTGGAACTGAGGGCCTCATACTTGCTAGGCAGGTGCTGTACCACTTGAGCCACTCCACCAGCCTGTTGGCCTAATTTTTTTGGTGAATTCTGTCTTCTAAAGGATAAAATAGAACTTGGTTTTCTGTGAGAAAAAAAATAATGTTAATCTTGAAAACAGGTTCAATTTTTTTCTTTGCTTATCTTTTTGGGTTATAGTCTGTTTACAGTGAAAGAGAAAGAACTAGGGAATATCAATTATTCTATTACAAAATTACAGAATTGAGTTTCATAAAATAGTTCTGTTTGTCATAGTCAGAAGACAGATTTTCTTGTTTAAAGTATGAACTCTTAAAATACTGGCTTTCAGGCAGGAGACAGAAGGATTGCAAGTTTGAGGCCAGTCTCAAAAATATATTGACTTTAAAATCCTCTTTACTCTGAATCAGATTGAAATGATTGTGGTTTCTATTATTGTTGATAAAATTTATATATCTAAATGAGTGCCTATCAAAACAGCCTATCACTGATCAATATTTTTATTCAAAAATATCATTACCGATCAAAACATTTTACCCCTCTTTATTTGGAATTATCTTCATACTTTGTAGCATATTCTTTTTTTTTGTGGTAATGGGATTTGTTTGAACTGAGGGCCATTCGCTTGCTAGGCAGGTGCTCTACCACTTGAGCCACACCCCCCAGCCCTTTTTTGCTATAATTATTTTTCAGATAGGGTCTCACTCTTTTTGCCTGGGCCGACCTTGGACTGTGATCCTCCTACTTATGTTTCCTGCGTAGTTGGTATTACAGATATGTATACCATGCCCAATTTGTTGCTCAAGATGGGGTCTTGCTAATTTTTTGCCTGGGATGACCTCTGTGATCCTCCTGAACTGTGCCACCATGCTCAGCCTTTTGTGGCACATTCTTTAGAATATCCTGAGAAGCCAGCTATTTTTGTTCTTTGCATATTATAAAACAAATCAATATTCATTATAAAAACTTAAGGAAATACATATAATAACAAAAAAATCACCTTTAAGACCACCATCATAGATAACCACTAGTAACATCTTTTCAGACTGATTTCTGAGTGTACTTAAATATATCCTTGGTGTGTAGGTTAAAAAAATTTAATGGAATCATACCATGAATCAATCTCCTTTTCCCCTTTTAAAAACATAAATATCATTTTCTAATATGCTTTTTTGTTCTTATTTTAAATATACTGAAACTGGTTTTCTTGTAGGCTTAAAATTTGATCTGAAGGTATTTGAAATGGAAGCCATGATTACATATTGAAAGTAAATTTCACTTATTAATTTGCTAGACAAATGGTTACAGTAGGCTGGAGGTGTGGCTCAAGTGGTAGAGCACCTGTCTTGTAAGCACCAAGTCCTGAGTTCAAACCTCAGTACG